CGGTGGCTCTCCATCCTCCCCCAGCACTGCATCTCCCTGCCTCAGGCACTGGGCTGGAAATGTAGGTTAGGGGCAGGTTCAGGGGCACCAGGCCAGGTGCTCCCCCTGCATCCTCCCTGCCGTCTCCTTCCCACGCTCGGGCCCTGCCACACGGACATCTGGGCACTGAGAGCTGTGTCCAGATGGTTTATCTTTTGCAGGCAACGAGGGTGATCTGAGAGATTCTGCAGATGTCCCGGTTCCTGGAGTCATTGATAGAGTATGCTCCCCGTCTCCTCGTGGCTCTGCTCTTTCAAGTTCTCATCAGCACAGAGCAGATGCCAGAGGAGGTCGATACCTTCTGGAGGGGATGCTGGGAGCAACACAACCTTCCCACCCAGCCCAACAGGTGCTCCATCCCAGTCCTCCTCTGCCTTCTGTGCCCTCGGGGCTGGCTCAGGGTTCCCAGCGTGACCTGGGCTTTGCTCTGCACACAGGTTTGCAGCGCTCACCATGAAGGCCCTACTTTGCCACCTGGAGTGTGAGGAAGTTGTGCTTTCAATGGAACGCAAGTGCGGCTGGGACACGCTCCTCAATGCCGGCACCCACCACTACGCAGTGGGTCTGCTGGCCAGGTGAGACCCCCTTGTCCCCACTGCCCCTGTCCTTTCTGCCTGTGCACGAGGCACCCCACACAGCGCCCGTGGTTGTGGGCCAGAGAGCCTTGTCACTGAGGGATGGCTGAGCAGAGTGGAAAAGGCTGGGAGAGGCGGGTGCACAGGAGGAGCTGCCTCCCAGAGCGCCCTTGTCCTGGGGGAAAACCAGGCCTCTGTGAGTCCATCTCGGGAGAGGTTTGCCCACCAGGCTCAGGGTCAATGGGTGCCTTTTTCCCCCTGGCAGGGAGATGCATGGTGTCTCCAGCCCCTTGTGTTCCCGCATCACACTCCACCTGCTGGAGCTGCTGAGCAGGGAGGAGCCCCACTTGGAGGTCCTCACCGTGGCATTCCTTGTGGAGGTGAGCCTGATGGTGAGCGCTGCCTCACTGAGCTGCCTCCACCTCTCTGCCCTCTTGGAGGGCCCAACCCTGTGTGGGTCTGGACTCCTGCCGGCCGGGCACCCCATCACTGCTCCGTGCCTTTCAGGTCCTGGACGGGCTGGACATGAGTGAGTGGGGAGACAACATTCTGCAGAGCCTTTCAAGGCACCTCCGGAGCGACTGCCCAGAGAGGCGTCGCCTGGCGCTCCGAGGCCTCCTGGTGCTCAGCCAGGATCCCGTGATGGTGAGAAGGGGTAGTTGGCTGAAGCCGTGCTGGAACCCTGGGGCTGGGGAACGCAGTCTCTTGGGCTTGGCTGGGCTTTGGGAGCTGTGGCAGCTGCTCCCAGCTCTGCTGCCTCCCTGCTCAGCTGCCCGAGTCCCTC